TAATATTATATTAAATTTGACTTTTGACTATTTACAATATTATGTTAACGTATTAGAAGATTTGACAAAAGGAAAATAGGTATAGTGAGATGGTCTAATTAATTAAATATTTTAGCTATTAATAATTTATGACATTACACTTTAAGTTTTGTTTTATTTAACTAATAACTTATTTGTAATATAATAAACTATAATATAAGAGAGAGGGGTACGTTTGATTAAGAACATAAATGTAACATCCCAAAATCACATTTGCATATAATATATATTTTTATGTATTAAGAAATATAATTTACACATCGGGTCTTAAAATCTACAAAAGCTACATTACAAAGTAGCTATTAATTTTTTTTCATATAATCACATTACAAAACTTGTATACATAACAGATATTCATATACAAAAGATAATACATCATCCCAACATCCCATGCAAGCAATAATAATTTTTCACAATTTTCCCTTCCCATTGTCATCTGGTTGTGTCTGACCTGTAATGCCATTTTAAAATACAAATGAGGGTTAGATCCTGAGGTCTAGTGAGAAATTCATTTGTTTGCTATTACAAGGTGAAAAATCACCAAAACACTTTTATAAACCTATATCTGTATAAATAACAAATAAACAACGTTTTAATAAAATAAACCTCTTTTGTAGCACAAAAAAGATGAGACATTACTCAATTATCACATCAAATAACCAAACAACTCATTTATCGCATTATGCTAAAACTCATTGCATCATATAGATAAAATCATAAATTCCTCGCATCACATGGGTGAGATACCCCATTTTCTCACGATGCGGTAAATCCATCTTGTCGCATCACAAGGGTGCCACAAACACAACTTTTCACATCACAAGGATGTGATAAACTTCCTTCTCACATCACAAGGATGTGATGAAAACAATGTATCGCATCAATAGGATGTGATAAACCAAGTCATCGCATCACACATATGTGATAACTCAAAGTCATCGCACCAATAGAATATGTTTAATGTACAACCGTTATGCTGTTAAAATTTTTACACATATAAATCACTCGTTTTTGTTTTGGTGAACCATATGAGCGATTTCAATCACTTATGGATGAGTCACAATCTAGTACTGACACCCCTCTCTTTGATGAGACATCTCTTTGGGAGTAGAGTGTCGGAGGAAGGAAGAAGGGTCGCCTTTTTGGTCTCGAGACCTCCTAGGATCCTTCTTATGCTATGACGGTTAGATGTAGCAATATCACCGAGAGATCATACGATTCAACAACGGATGTATGTTGGTTATATTGTTATATAATTTCTCATTACTTTCATTACGAATAAATTACTGGTTTTGTCGAATATTAAATATTTACAAGTAGCATAGTTGATAGAGAATAAGTTGGCAAGGGTAGAGGAGGAGGCGCGACTGCAGGAGGAATGCCATTAGCTGAGATGGAGGCCAAATGAAAGAGTAAGGCAAATTTGGAGGCCGAACAGGCCAGACACGCTGCCCAGCCGAACATGTTGCTTTATCGGAGCATTTTGCTGTGTTTATGCGGCAGTCAGAATACGTTTTCCCCCCTCCCCCACCTCCTATATTGTAAGAATTTGAACATTAAATTGAACGAACTTGATATTTTAAAAAGTTTAATGAATTAGTTTTAATTTATTCACAATTTTGACTTGTTATTTTATGGTCAGGTTTTGTATAACTAAATATATGAATTATGTAATTATAAATTATTTATTTTTAAATTAATAAAAATTAGCGACGGATAAAAGTTTATGGTCCCTAGCTAATCCGTCACTAAAAGTTTCCCTCGCTAATCTGTCACTGAAAGTATCCGTCCCTGAAAATATCCATCGCTAATCCGTCACTGAAAGTTTCCGTCACTGATCCATCGTTAAATTTCATCGCTGATTCGTCGTTGATAGCATTACCTACGAGTTTTTGATCGACAAAAGATCAACAACAGATGAGACCTTTAGCGACAGATGATCAAGGGTCCAAATCTTTTTTTATGTACTGAATCAATCTCTGTATCAACCGAGGTGAATTTGAAATTAAAGATGATCAAGGGTCCAAATCTTTTTTTATGCTTCTGACTTTAATTCTCATTCTCACATGATATTTTGCCAGATCAATTTATCAAAATTGATCCAATGGTGGCTCACAATTCACATTGAATCAAATGTTTCTCATTTGAGCCCAAGTGTGTACATATAAACGAGTACTATAAAAAGATTGTGAATGTGAGAATACTTATCAATCATTGTCTCCGGCGTGTAGCTTAGGAACCCTTTAACCAAACGTTTACTCAGGAGTCACGTTATTTTACCAGATGAATATGACAATGACCAAGAAGCTTACCCGATAAGAGCGAAAACAAGGACCAAGAGTCTTATCCGGTTAGTGAAAGCGACGACTCTTACCATGGTTAACGCTTACCGGGTAAATTGTTGTATAAAAGATTATTTTAGTGGACTAAAATCTTACTCGGTAAGTAAGCGATAATGTTGAATTTTGCTGGTAAGCACTTATCGAATAAGAATTTGATGACTTTGACCAAATAATGACAGGTATGGGTTCGATCCCAGGCCCTTCCGCTATCCTCAACCGTTGAGTAAGCCAAAAATACCCTCTCACATTGATGTTCAGGTTTTGTATAAGACCGGCTAGAACCGTTAGTAATCAACTTTTTTAATAATATACTTATCGATCATTAGATACCACAAAATGTGCTTAATTTGTGATCATTAATTTATGAGCTAACATTTGTACGACAATCGTTTCAAAATCAAAATCTTATTAAATAGCAAAATATTTCATTACATTTTTCTTCGAGAAACCTTCATCCTCCATTTACATCCAACTCCCATTGATCATTGGCACCTTGCATTGTAACGACTTCCCGGACCTCCGTAAAAGAACTTGAGTTCGGATTTCCGTTCATTCAAGAGATACGCATCGTAACAGTCCCATTCATCAGAGCTAACATAAAGCCGTTCCGGTTCCATCAAATCGTGCGAATTTGCTTCGATCAACATCCCCCTTATCGTTCCTGAAGAACCAAATACGACATCAGAGAACACCCCACTGCCCATGGCCGTTGCTGTGTGCGGATTGGTTCCAACCTTTGGGCTGTAAACTTCACCTCCCCATAGAACCAAGGTTGCTTGATGTTTCAGTATCGGAAAAATGTCGCCAGGCCAATACCCGACATCCTTGTCGTTGTATATTAACCACCAGTTATTTGTGTATGGATCCTACATTACATACCCACAATAAAACTTGTATGAACACTCATTTTGTTGTAGTAATTAAGATGGGCAAAATCTTGAGATATTGACAGAAAAATGATACTTAATTACAAACCTTATGGATTTGAATTGTGATTTCAGATCCATATAATGAAGTAATATCCCCACCAAGAAGGATGTCTTGAGATGTCTGAACGAATCCAGGACAAGTGAGATCAAAGCAACCAGTGTTTTGCATACCATCAACCTATATATACATACATACATATATATATATATATATATATATATATATATGGTAATTAACATACGTTAGAAGCTAGCACAAATAATAGTCCATTGCCACCTGCAACAGCGTGTTTTAGAACTTAATTACCGTCCAGTATGCAAATAAGCGCGTTTTAGCATCGTTGTAAACAATCGGGTTTACCTGAAAACCATCAAGAATTGGTACTTATAAACATCAACTGTATATATAGAAAGCAAATATATATATGAGGTGGTGATGAATACTAACTGTCCATCCAGCTTCTGCTGTCTCGAAGGTTTTCAAAGGGCCATTTCTGAGCATAACTTGAGAGCTACTGTAATCAGTATTGGACTCCACGAATGGGTTCCATACTTTGATGTTTGCTTTAGCTCCTGAGTAACTGAGTCCTGTGGTTAGCACTGTTGAAAACTGTAGATAGATACAGGTTAGCTACAATTGAAGATATATATATATATATATATATATATATATATAAAGTGAAGAAGATGGATGAGATACAGATATAGATATATATACCGAATGATTTGGGTGTATTATGACTTTTCTATTTGTTGATTGATTCTTTGATGGTCTTCGTATTGGGATTGTTCCATTGGGACAGCTTCCGTACTGTTGCCATACTTGTGATGGTATCTTGGACTTGGAATCTTGCATTGTCGTCGTTCCATTCGTTTTTGGAAGAAGATAATTCGATTTCATCTGATATATACATACGTGGACAGAAGGAAAAAAACAATAAATGGTATTAACTTTGTTAACGTGGTTTATTTAATCAACGGTTGTAATTAAATGAGAGGTTATAATTTGATTAAAAAAGAAACAAATAATTAAATGGTACTAAATGAAGGACATTTTTAGAATAATTTTTTTTTCAAAGATAATTATATTTTATTTTTGGAAGATAATTAATAATAATATTTAAATAATATTTTTATTTTTAAGATAATTGTATTTTATTTTTAGAAAATAATTAATTATAATATTAAAATAATTTTTTTAAAGGTAAATCAAAAAGTTTATAGGTGAAACAAAAAAATGAAACAACGATTTTTATTTAAGCTTATAGATGAAATTAAAGTTCATAGATGAAACCAAAAAATGAAACAATGATTTTTATTTACAGTTCATAGGTGAAACAATAAAGTGAATGAGATATTTAAGGAATGTGGTATCAATAATCACTATAATAAAAATGAGAGGACCTAAAGTATTTAGACATCATAACAAAATGTTTTATAAGACTTAAATTTATAGGACCAAACAATAATACTAAAATATATTATTAGGATGTTTAGATAGAAAGTTTCTTTATTTGAATCCATTAATTTGTCCTAATTAGTGTTTGTACTACTATTGTAGTATCTTAAAATAAATGTCTATTTTTAAAAGTAAATAACTACTTAAAAAACTCATTACTATCATTAAATTTAAATTAAAAAAAAATATAATTACACGTATTTTAAAAAATAATTACTCTAAACTTGTCCGAAATCACTAAAAAATGTAATTTCGATTTTTTTTTTTTGTATAAATGTTTACAACAAAATAATAAATGCAGCGGTGATAAAGTAAGAAGAGAATGACCATACTTGAATGGTATGATTTTTCAAAGCCGGATGGTGAAAAGCAGGTTGTTTGTAGATGTCAACGCAGTCGATTATATCTCCATCTTTAACCTGTATGAACAGTTTTAGTCAGTTACTCGCACATTAGCAAATAAACAAACATACCCACGAACGTTATTTGTAAACCAATGATGTCGGGACGTTATTTTTTTGATAGAGTGACAATTCTTCTTACAAAACCAATATACAGTATATGCATATTGACAAGAACATACGTAAAATCATAACCCGACAATTAGATACGAATTAAACAACACCCATCATTGAAATTTAACCTATGATACGAGAAAGAAGGAGTATAGAATCCGAACCCGAACAGTCTTTATTATATGACGTTTGGAAACAGGTCTTATTTGTGACGTGACGATGGATGATAGGAGCAATGACAAAAGGATTATAAGCTTGAATGCCATCTTATGTTATGAATGGATATGAATGAACATGAGAAATGGTAGCATTTATATGCAATCAATATATGGATTTGCAAAGAATCAATAGAGGTTATGTTTAAATATAATTTTATAATTAAAATTATGACTAACCTTTTAGGAATATTTTATTTTCGAATTGGTGGTCTAACAGATCAAACTGTAAATATGGTTTTGTTTTTCTTTGAATCTGTACGGTTTAACTTGGCGTGAGGGAACCAGACTCATCATTACGGTTTGATCTGACAGGTTTACACTGTTCAACCTTTAAATACTCACATTATGTTTTTAAATTTGAGAAAAAAAAAAGATAGAAAACGGAGCAAAATAAATGAAATGAAAAAGGTTTTTTTTTTTTGGTTTCTTGAAATAGAACGGAAGGAAGGAGAATGAATCAAATTTCCATTTCTTGAATCGAAACGAAAGGAAAAAAATATGTCATTTTTATAATTATTCCATTTATATATATATATATATATGTATATATGTATGTATAGATGATAATGGGTAGTTTTATAATTACTAAATTATCCAAAAGTTGAGGAGCCGTTTATTAAATGTTTACCTGGTAAATGCTTAGTGGGTATTTTTCTCATCGTATGAACATAGCAAGAGTCAAAAATCTTACCTGGTAAGAACAATGATAAAAATGAAGAGTTTTACTCGGTAAGTGAAGGTAACGAGTCTTACCCGGGTAAGCGCTTACCGGGTAAATTATTGCATACGATATCATTTTCTTGTAATCTTACCCGATAAAATAAATTACAGTGTTGACTTCTAACGGTAAGTACTTACCAGGTAAGCATTTAGGTAAACGGTCCCTAAGTTTAGGAATTATTTTTCAATATATTATTTTCCTTTTACTAATAATTAAAGCTTTTAAAGGTGTTTCTTTTCACCTCATTTAATTTCCTTCTATTTCTTTTATCTTCTTCCATAAACAACACAATATTAATATTAATGCTATTAAATATATTATGTTTCAAATTTTATTTTACTTAATTAATAACATATTTACAATTATAAATATAAACTATGAACTAATATATAATTTTTTTAATATATATGATCATTTTAACTGCAAAATCATAACTCCAAACTGTAGTATTAACTCACCCAGATCATTAAAAATACGGTTTTATTTTGTTTATATTGTATCTTGTACATAAATATACATATATCTGTATGGATGGTTATTTCGTAATAATATTACTTGTAGTATATAGTTTGTTAAACAATACTTGTATTCATATAATCATCTAGATAACGTTAGTGTAGATGAAAAATATTTTTGAAAAACACTAAAATCTACATATTGTCTTGAATGATAATAACCTTTAAATATATTAGTGATCCATTATCATATATATATATATATATATATATATATATATATCGGAGCTTCAAATGGATATATAGGGTTGGGTTCTGGTGATAAGCGTAAGAACAGATCTCCATCTTTGGGTCAATCCTAATTGAATGAAAACATTAATAAGATTAAAAGTGATCATTTCATGGATGAACATGAGATTAAAAGTGATCAAATGTTTAGATATCTTCATACGCTTCTTCGTTAAGCATAAATAAAGGTTGATAATGAATGTTGAATTAAGAATATAGGGTATTAGATGTTACAAAAGGGACATTGTTATATATATAAGAAAAAATTATACGGTTGAAATGATTGTTTGGAGTATAATAAGATTATAAATTAAAAATTAGGTTAAAATCATATATAAAAATCAAATTCAATATTTTACTAACTTTGAAAGTCTAAGATAAAAACTCAATTTTCTTAATAAAAATATTATATTAAAATTCAACAATTTCTTTATTTTAAGATTCTAGTATTTATTATGTTGTTTAATATATCTAATTAATTTCCTTGAAGATAAGTAAAAAAATATTTTATACAAATTAATTTTTAAGATTTTTTCTTCTTACTTTTTCAAATATGGAAATAAATTTATTGTTGTCTTTAATTTCTCCATTTTTAAGTGTTTTTGGAGATTATGTTGAAGGTAGAAAAACTTAAAATCTCTATTTTTTATTTTTAATATTTTATTGAAGATTTTTTTATTTATAATTTCTTCAATTTAAAAAAAAATAAAAGTTAATTTTATTTTTTTAATTTGTTAAAAAAATTTATTTCCCAAGTCATAAATTTGCTTTTAAGCTAGGTTTTGTTACAAGCTACTTCAGGTAGTATTTAAATAAGTCCCAATGATTTTTTTTTCCTAATTTTGTCACATATATTTTACATAAATGATAAGACTGTTATTATTTTAGGTTAGTTTTACATTGTCATCTGTTTTATTATCTACCAAATATTACTAGTTTATCAGCTAATAGTTAATTTGTTAATCAACAATTAGTATACTTTTTTAGTCGAAAGCAAGCTTATCATGCAATCAGTTTGTCAAACATAGCCACGAACTCTAAAATTAAATTATATCGAACTCAGTTTTTTTTTTTTTTTCCATTTTGAAGATTGCAGTATTATTTATATTATTAAGTTATTCCTTTCATTCAATATGCTAAGAAATTTTCAAACATACTGTTTATAAAATGGTAATTTTTAACAGACTGTTTATAAAACAGAAAAAATTGAATTAATATATCTTTTTCTCTGCTTTTTTCCCTCCAATTTGGAGAATGTTTTAGAGATTCGTTGAAGCAAAAAAGAAACTCCAAAAATTTCATTTTCTTCGATTTAAAAATTCTATCGGAAATATTCTAAAATTTAACGTCTCCAAAAACAATTACATTCAACTATAATAGTTTTTTTCATTTTAAAAAATCTAGCATTGATTATACATAAAAGAGTAAATTACAACTTTCATCCCTGTGGTTATATGGAAATTATGTGTTGGGTCCCCCAAATAAAATTACAGATAGCATCATCATGGTTTTTGAATTTTATTAAGGATTGGGTCCCTCGACTTAACTCTGTTAGATCATGCTTCGTTAAACTAGCGCATGTGCCCCTCACATAAGGGTCATTTTTGTATAAATATAGAACTTTAAGCATTGTTGCTACTAGTATAAATATAGAACTTGTAAGACGGTTCACTTACCGAATCATTCTTAATCCCATATCCTCTAACACCTCATACATTTTAATCGTACTAAAAATCTTGACATAAATTGTCTCCAAGAATCATAACCCTCTTAATATCATTTCTAAATCACTTGTGTCTGTCTTAAAGAACATGATTGCAATTATGGATGCGTCCTGTCAGCCCTACATGTGCTCCATTTCCTACATTCACTGTTTTCCAAATTTACAACCACATTGTTGAGCACTTGCTCAACTAACTTAATCTCTGGCCCTTTAATTATTCATTAGTCCATGGGATCATCCATCATCGGGACATACCTTACATGAACCATCTATTTGTCTCATATTTCCTAAAAAGGAAATACAATTCATTACCAACAACCCAATTGTCACTTATCATATATATATCCCTCACTAGAATCTTACATCACTTTCATATTCTTAATCCCATGATTTAAGCTTAGATTGTCACATATCTTAATTTGCGTAAACCACTTTCTGATTTCAGTAAAATCGTATCTTTCGTCATTTCATTTGCTTAAAAAATAGGCATAGGGGCATTTTTTAGTATCTTCGCACAGGGCATCAAAAACCTCAGGAACGACACTGGATTTTAATCAATTTAGAACCTATATTTTTATTTTAGAGGGGGGGGGGGGGTTCACCTTTTGCGGGCTTGGTGTAGTGGAAGGAGATGTGGTTGTGGAGTAGTAGACGTAAATGAAGTGGTGAGGAGGAGATGTTGAAGATGGACGTTTTTGTTGGAATCCCAATACAATTTGGGGGGTTGTTTTCGTGTGCTCTTACCATCGACTGTGGGAGGACGGGTGGAATTGCAAATGGAGGTGATGATGCATGTGTATATATATGTAGGGGTGTGTGTGTGTGTTTATGTATTTGGGGAGGGTGTGTGTGTGTGTTTATGTATTTGGGGAGGGGGTGCATGTGTGTGTGTATATATATATAGCCAAAGGTTATTTTGAGAAGTGGTAAATATTTGAGAAGTAAAAAAGTGAGCATAGCCCTTCATATGGTTTCAAGATCGGATGTGATTGGTCAATAATCGCTGCTTTGACTGGTCAAAAATTGAGGTTATTCAAAAAACAGATAGGGTACTTTAGTAACTTTTACAAATAGGCGGTAAGCGAGTTCATATATGAACCTATGTGATTCACATATGAACTATATGTTCATATATGAACTCATGTAATTCATATATGAACTATTTAACTGATTCACATGTGAACTCGTGTGATTCACATATGAACTAATTAATTAATTCACATATGAACCACTGTGATTCACATATGAACCACTGTGATTCACATATGAACTAATTAACGGGTTCACATATGAACATATTGGTTCATATGGGTTCATATATGAATCCGTTTGCCCCCTATTTGTAAAAGTAACAAAATTACCTCTTTATCTTCCACATAACTATGCAAAGAATTATTCAGTGCTTCACTGCCAAAGTTGCAAATGATCAGATGAAGGGCTCGGATCACTTCTTTACTTCTAAAAAATTTATCATTTCTCAAATGAATTTTTCCTTATGT